AAAAGGAAAACACGCCGGCCATGCCCATGAAAGAAAGAAGGCCCCCATGTCTGACACGTGCGACGTCGCTGCAGCGAGCTACGGTATTATATATTGTAACCTCTTTGAGGATGACCATACACAACGGATAGCTATGGTCACAACAGAACATGGGATGACCACACACAACTGATAACTATGGTCACAACAGAACATGGGATGACCACACACAACTGATAACTATGGTCACAACATACAGAATAGAATGACCACACACACACACAACTGATAACTATGGTCACAACAGAACATGGAATGACCACACACAACTGATAACTATGGTCACAACAGAACATAGAATGACCACACACACACAACTGATAACTATGGTCACAACAGAACACAGAGTGACCACACACACACAACTGATAACTATGGTCACAAAAGAACATGGGATGACCACACACACACAACTGATAACTATGGTCACTACAGGACATGGGATGACATCACACAATAGATAACTACGGTAACTACAGGACATGGGATGACCACACACAACAGATAGCTATGGTCACAACAGGACATGGGATGATGTCACACAACAGATAGCTATCATCACATGGTTTGGTTCTCAGACTCGAAACCGTTAGGTCGAGGGTTCGAATCCCATTAGGGGCCCGACGTTGTGTCCTTGGGAAAGGGACTTTACACAAATTTTCTTCACTTCACCCAGGTGGGAATGGGTACCCGGCAATAGACAGTGAAAGATCTTGTCAGTTTGTTAGTGTTAGTTGAGTGCATAATCAGCTGCTTGCACTGTATGCTTCCCGGGAAGCTGAGAATGTTTCGGAGTGTTCTATGGTCTGCTGGGGTAAGAATATAGTGTAAAGCGAAGAGCTTGCTGTCGAGTGGGGATATGCACAATACAAATGCTATTTATTATTATTATCATTATTACTATTATTATTATGACCACTTGGTGGGTGGTTGGCGGGTGCTCTGGTGTGGTTTGCTTCTTCTTTCCTATCAAACATCTGTCGCCCTTATCTCCCCTTCTTCTTTTGTATGTTTGTTACTCTCTTGTAACACCTCTAATCTTCTGGCGCTCATATGACCTTATGCAGTTGCGAGCGCCGTCAAACCTCTACTAGAACTATGACCACTTGTTCCACTTAGGTGTTTGTTCACTCACCCTGACACAGACCGCATTGCGGAGCTCTGAGGACATGCCCAGGACTTGGACCAGCAGTGAGCACTTAGACCCGCCCAGAGATGCTGGAGGGAAAAATGAGGAGACGTAAGGATGGTGTAGCAACCATAAACAGGCATGACTTATGTCACACACACACAGACAAATATACTCACTCACATATATATATATATACAAACAGGCACTCAGACAAATGTACTCACTCACATATATATA